ATCTATCTTATAAATCTTTCTATTCTACTAACCTACTAATTCTACTAATTCTATTTTTTGTACAATTTCTATCTATTTTACTATCTCTATCTATCTTACAAAACTTATCTATCCTATATATCCTACTAATTCTACCTATTTAATAATCTACCAAATCTATTAATTCTATTTTTTCTACTTTCTCTACCCGTTTTACTATCTTTATTAATTTTACAAATCCTAACTATCGTACAATCCTTTCTATCCAACAATCCTACAAATCCTACAAATCCTACAAATCCTATAAATCCTACGTATCCTACAATCGTATCTACCCGATAATCTAATCTACCCGACAACCCTATCTATCCGACAATCCTACAAATCCTACAAATCCTATGTATCCTATGTATCCTAAATCCTATTTACTCGACAACCCTATCTATCTGACAACCTCTATCTATCTGACAACCCTACAAATCCTACAAATCCTACATATCCTATGTATCCTATGTATCTTCCAATCCTACCTATCCTACAAATACTGCTTACCTATCGGCCTGTCGGCTTACTTACCTATCTACCGGCCTACCTGTCCGCCTGCCTACCTACTAACTGATCTGTTCTATGTCTGCTTTCCGGTCTCCCTGTTTATCTGCTAACCGGTTACCTTGATGGCCGCCTACCTACCAGCTCGTTTTCCGGCCTACCGATTTACTTAGCAGCCTGTTTTATAATTCGCCTGTCTATCTGCTAACTGGCCTCCCTGTTTACCTGCCTATCTACCTCCCTATCCGCCTGTCCACCTATCTGCTAACTGATCTGTTCTGTGGTCTGTTCCCGGTCTACCTGCCAACCGGCCTGCTCCGGGCCTGCGTACCTATCTACCGGCCTGCCTATCTGCTGACCGGTTGCCTGCCTATCTTCTGACCGGTTACCTTTATGGCCGTCTACCTACCGGCCCGTTTACCGGCCTACCTATTGACTTGGTAGTCTGTTCCACGGTCTACCTGTATATTTCCCTGTCTATCTACCTGTTTATCTGCTAACTGATCTGTTCTATCGTCTGTTCCACGGTCTGCCTGTCTATCTACCTGGCTATCTACCTGTCTATCTCCCTGGCTATCTCCCTGTCTATCTCCCTGTCTATCTACCTGTCTATCTACCTGTCTATCTACCTGTCTATCAGCTAACTGATCTGTTCTATCGTCTGTTCCACGGTCTGCCTGTCTATCTACCTGGCTATCTACCTATCTATCTCCCTGGCCATCTCCCTGGCTATCTCCCTGTCTATCTCCCTGTCTATCTACCTGTCTATCTACCTGTCTATCTACCTGTCTATCTACCTGTCTATCTACCTGTCTATCAGCTAACTGATCTGTTCTATCGTCTGTTCGACGGCCTACCTATCTATCTACCTATCTATCTACCTACCTATTTACCGATCTACTGACCAATCTGTTTTGATCTGTCTCCCGCTCTACCTACTTATCGGCTAACGGGCCTGCTTGGTAGCATTATTCGGGACCTATTCCGTGTATGGCTTTATTTATAGTTTCTCCCTGTTTCGTGATCTCGTTCGGGCCTGTTTCTACGGCCTGCTACAATCGTTACTGCCATAAGCCCTGGATTCCCTATGCCTGGGGCCAAATACCATGCTCGCTATCATGGGATCAAAATCAATATCTATATGGCATTATCGAATGGATTCATTAACTGATAAACTGCCGGATTCCGGGTGTACAGTGGATGCCCTCCAATTCCTTGCAAATCTGCTATAACCAACAAAATGTATAGAACAACTGGCTGTATTGCCCCCGGGTTCCGTCGGTAGCCTGCCCGAAAAACCGCACTACCTGCCCGATATTTTTGCTATCTATCTCGTGTTACCGTAAGCGCCGCTGCCACAACGGCTGGATCTGATCGTACCACGGTCCAAACAACATTATTGCCGTCATAGGAACCAATATATCCTTATACACGCAATTTTCCCGCTGGGGTACGCTCTGGTCTCACTGACGGCAAATGGTCTGCGGCATCCTACAGCGGAAACACGCCGAATACGGGGCATATCGGATCCGCTGGCTGCGGACGGCCTGCATCCACGCCTAGACCCGTGTGACATCGGGATTGCGGCAAAAATACAGCTCGTGTTCGTACCGATTGTATCCCTCTAGCGTATATATATAATACTGCCGCTGCCACGGGGGTATCTCTCGCTCGATGATCTTCTCGTTCAGCCACTGCTGCGCGTCGATGGCCTGGCGGGTAACGTGCGGGGCGGCCTGGCGCTGGGCCTATACCCGCTGGCGCTGGCACTCGACGACATCTACCGTGGGCGGCTCGGTAGGGGGCGGGGGCTCGATACTGTCGATCCGGCGGCATTTCGCACGGGGTAACTAATTGGGAACTGATGGGCCCGATGGGGGGCTTGCGGACGGGATAAGCGATAGATGCTGGACTTGGGTAACGAACGAGTCACTGGATGCTTCACTGGCGGACGGGCTGGGGGACCCGGTATTGAAATGGCTGATCTGATGGCTGACCTCCTGGCTGACCTGATGGCTGACCTCCTGGCTGACCTGATGGCTGGCCTCCTGGCTGGCTTCCTGGCTGGCTAATGGACCGGGGGATGAGGATACGCTGACCACGGACTCACGTATCATCCAATCCGGGTGGCTCGCTTTCTGGCTGGCCAATGGACCGGAAAATAGGGATACGCTAACTATAGACTCCTGTACTATCTAATCGGGATTACATCTATTACACGCGATCTCGTAGACATCGGAATCCTGGCAATACCGCCGGCTGTACCTATCTATCGTCTCATTTATGTATCCGTCTAATACATATCGTCGGCATCCGATCCCGGGTTCAACCTCTATATATTGGTCGACCAGCTCCTGATCGGTCCCGATCATATTGATCGATGTATCCGGCATCCGGGCGGCCTATCCGGCAGACTAAATGATAATAGCCTCGCTAGTTTGTTTATTCCGGCCGGCCCGTCCGCTCTCTTGCGCGTACTCCAATAATGACTGTAGTCTGCCCAGATAAATGATACTCCGGATATCGGGAATGTCTACTCCTATCCCCAGTGCGCTAGTAACGACAATCATTCGGCTCGGGCCCTCGATGAACCGCTGCAAAATGGAGGTTTTATCAATTTGCGCGCTGTAAAATGCTTTACATGCCAGCTCGCCCGCGACGGTAACGACCTGGTTTACCACGGATCCGTATATTATGATCTGCCCACTCTATACCTGCTGAATTCGCTCTCGAATAAATGTTACTACTGGCTCACTGGTTACTCACGCGGATCCCGTCCGGCGCGGGACGTCAGGCTCCCAGATCCGGTATACAACATTGGACCGGCTAATACGATCCCGGAACAAATGTACGAAGTTTGCCAAATATCCCATTTGCTGCCATAACGTGGGCTCCAGCTGCAACGGTAACGTAGCCGTCAATAATATTATCTGCGTGCGGGCGTGATTTAACTGTCCTAATTGCCGCAATTCTGGCCGGAAATCGCGCTAGTTATTCAATATCGTATAGCATTCGTTAATTACGATACAGTTCAGCTGCCGTATCTGCTGCAGCCGGTTAATGAACGTCTAGAAATCGTCGGTAACGGCTGATTCGGGCGTAACCAGTACAATAGTTACCTCGTCGGGCGGCCGCCGGCTCTCCTACGCCATATACAGAATGTCTAGTGCCCGGTATCGCGATATTATGTCCTGCCGCAGTGCGACTAGCGGAACGACTACAATTGTTGTACTTCCGGATTTCACGAATACCGGTAGTATAAATAGTATACTCTTACCGCCTCCTGTCCGCATAACTGCTATTACCGGATTCGACCCGTCCTGGATGGCCCGGATAGCCGGGGCCTGGATCTCCCGCAGTGCGGCCATCTCCTGGCCACTCATCTCGCGCAGTGCCTAGCCTATATCGGCAATATGCAGCCGGTAGTGCCGCATTATCTGGTTTTTTTCGGCTTCGGCCTTCTACGGAGACCGTATCCGCTGGCCACAGATTTCGACAGGTAATATAACAGTCAATTTAAATACCAAAAATCGATACCAGTCCGTACTGGACAAGCGAAACATTTGCCGCCGGTAAACAGTAGTACCAGCTTGCTCCATAATATCCCGCGCATATACGGTACCGGCTAAATAGGACGAATGTATTGCCTGCAGGTCAGCAATATGGTTCATCTATTGCTCTGAATCCATTCCGTCTTTCGCGTCCGGGTTAAGTACCTGTACCGCGACCTCCTGTTCCTTCTGGCAGTTATGTACAAACGCGTTAGATAGCCGCATGAACCGTCGGCTGATCCCGATAGCGAGCTCCCGGTATGCCTGGATATTGATTGGGTAGTACAGTACTATTTTCGTTTTGCGTTTAAATGTTTTACGCAATCGCTCGGATAACCATTGATGCTGCGTCCCGGGATTGGATTCCTAGATAAATGTATCCTCCCGGTTAGGGGAAACCCGGCTGACTGTAGACGGTAACTCGTGCCATATCTGCTACGCCTCGAATTGCTGAACAAATGGTAACGCTAATCACAAATATTATATTACGAGCTCTCCGACCTCCCGCGGTAAATACCGGTTAATCACTTTAATATTATTGCTAGCATAAAACCCCTTGTGATATGCACTAACTATTGCTACCAGCCCGTCCTCGATAAATATATTGCGCTGCCGGTTAATCGTAGTATTCACATGTTGGATACTTAATAGCTCGGGGGCCCGAGCCGGCTGCCCGGCTACTACCTGCATTAGGACGGCTAGCTTCTCTTTGAACTGCACTACCTGCTGGAAGTACTATGTTACGGCTGGAGGGTGCAGTTATTGCTGCCGCTGCCGGACAGTAAATTGGGCCTGCATAGCCGGCTCGGTCCGCAGCCGGTCCCGGACCCATTGCGGCCCATCTATTGGTCACTGCGTGCGCCCGTCCTTCAAAAAGCTCTATCCTACCGTCCGCTGGATAAGATCGTTGTACATAGCGTGTCACGGGATGACTGGCAGCTCGTGAGTCTGGCTGACGCCAAGGATATCATACAGTTTCTGCTGGGTGACCCCGACCAGCCCATGTACGAAGCCGCGGAAATCGCCTATAGTAAACTGGATGTGCTGGTATCCGATCTCCTCGTTACTGTGCCAGGTAATATGTCCCGCGGCAGTAGTATTGTAATGGATTTTGAGCCCGTATGTCTGCCAATCCAGCAGCGTCTGCATGGGCCCGGCTGTCCCCTGTACCATGAATGCCTGTACTATGGACGCTAACTGTTCCTGGAACGACTTGCCCGTACGGCGATTCCGGGGGGTGGCAACTAGTGGCTGTAACTCCTGGCTGTTAATTCGCACGGACGATGTGGGGGGGAATGACGGAAGCAGGAATCCGGAAGAATATCGTAGCCGGTCTGCCTTGGTCTCGCTGAAATATCCCTTATCGGACTCGATACTTTTCAGCGTATTATCGGTACTGGCTAATGCCCACTAGGTACAGTCTGCCTTTTGCAGCTATATCTAGATAATAGTTTCCGGATCCGGGTCCAGCCATAGTGCTATTTGCACTACCATAAATCGAGTCACCTTGATCACGCGGGATAAGATCGGCGGATAACTTTTAGCATTTCGCCAGCGGTCGTAACTCTAGCCCTATACGGCTATAGCACAGATTAATACATTTTTGTATTCGTATTCCCGCTGTTTCTGGTTTAGTAGCTTGATACAAAACTTCAAGTATCGCTACTCCAGTAGATTCATTTGTCACGCGGCTATCTCGTCTGTTTCATCAGCCTCGATACCTTTATTGTTGTTGTGCAACGGCTGTACGGCTAGCGCCTACAACTGGTGCCACCATTTGCGCTGCTGGAGGGTCATCCCGTACGGCGGGCTGGTCCAATCGTGGGGGGCCTGTATGCGGGCAATAAACGCGAGAATTTGCTGCCACGGCTGGACGTGTTTAACGATACTTTCTGCATTTATGTATGCCTGCAGTGGCTGATGCGGCGGGACAGTCCCGGCATCTGATTGTACCGCAGTAAATCGGATAGCAAAACTACTGGATCGGACCGTCCGCTGGCATTTACGGACTAGCTGTTCCATTGTAGTCTACAGCTGGCGGACTCCCTGTTCGACCGGGTCCTCGGGTTCAGTAGGATCCTCCTCGGGCGGAGCAATTACCCGGGTTAAATCGTGGGGGGTAACAGCTTTCAGGTATTCTGACCAGCCGGTCATGCGCAGCCACGGGTTCGCGTCAGTAATCTCGCACGCCTGAATAGTTTCCTACATCTGCGCTGCCTGTGCCTCGGTCCATACAGTCTCGACCTCCTGTAGCGCCTGATCGATCGTGTCAGGAGTACTGAATGGGATGTCTTCCTCGCCGATAATGGGGATATAATGGGAGCCCTGGCGGGATGGAAAAATCTGCTGGTATGCCACGGGTCGGTAGAACTGTTGCAATTCTTTCTCTGTATCCTGCCGAGCATCTGCGTGGATTCGGCTACGATGGCGCGATTTAGACTATTGATAGATCTTACGCCAATGACGGCACATACTCTCCATACTGCGGCCGACATACATACAGTGGAAGTCCCGTTGGCATAGTAACCCATTGGAATAGATCTTCAGTCTGGGTAAAGGTTGCTGGAGTTGCTTGGGCCATTGCATCTCCGTGAGTTGATGGATAAGGTCGGGCTACTGCTGAACGGCCTCGCTGATCTGCACGGTTTGCTAATGGGAAACCAGCCGATGGGCTCCGTTTTTCAAATGGCACTGGACTTCCTGTGGCCACACGCCGTGCTGGCATGTTTTGCAAATGATAATGGGCAACGTCGGTAGCCGGGTAAAAATCTGATGGTCCATGGTGGCTGCGTAGTGAACTGGCTTAGTAACGTAATACTAACTGATAGTTAGATTGATAACAACAGCTGAATAACTGGGTAAACAGGTATCAGTGCGGATAGAATGGGAAAGATACCGAGTAAATGATATAGTAAAAAACAAAACCTACGTCTTTGCTGGAGAAATCCGATATTTGGCTCTTTTTCTTTCTCTGAGTCGATCGGACGGTTAATCGAACCTATTACGGTCCCGCAATTACGGCTGCAGCGGCTAACGTAATGATGTAACGTAATTACAGTCGAATTCCAACTGTAACGAACGGCTACGCTGGCGATAAGAAATCACGAAAATGTAGAGTATGCATTTAACGAAGAAACTAAGTTAGATTATAAAGCTATATAGGAGCTAATCACAATATATGTGAGTCAGCTCTGACGCTAGTCCCGATCGGGTAGTTAGGTTATAGGGTATCGCGAAGGAACGTCTTCGGAGGCAGATCACAGTCCGCAACAGTTAGATTATTGATAATAGCTGAACCACTAGCTTAATTGCAAGAATGGATGAACCTGGTAGGTCAATACCGTAACCCTAACGATGGAGCCAATTATCCCTGGGTTCTCGGGTTATCACGGTACAGATCTAGGGTGCCTGAGGCACCCCTGTCAGGGACCTTCCGGTATGCTGGGTCACGTGACACCTGTGACATGACCCACAGATAGTACGCGTAATTAGGAGTTTCCCCCAGAACAAGCTGTACTCCAAGTAGCTTGTTCTTCGTCAATACTACGTTTTTGAGGTTAGTGCCTTACAACCCCCTTAGCGTGGCCCGGAACGCTATATTATCTGTTCCGGGATCCGCATATCTCCTGCCTGCCCGCACCTTAACATGGGTAAACGGTATCGGGTGCGGATAGATTAGGGAAGGGACTGGGTAAGTAATATAGTAAAATGCAAAATCTACGTCTTTACTGGAGAATTGGCTCTTATTTCCCCTGAATCGAACGGATGGTCGATCGGACCCATAACGGTCCCGCAATTGGAGTTACAGTGGCGGGCTAATGTGACGATGCAGCGCGGCTACAGTCTAACCCTAACAAAACTGGTTCTCGTTTTCGATCAGCTCCCACGGATTCAAACCAGGATAGATCGGACTGATATTGGATTTACAGATAGATAAGCAGTCGAACTGTATCCTATCCAACTTTGGGACAGAGCAAGCTACAGTAACCTAATTGGGATAAACGTTAAAGTTATATGGTATAAACGTAAACAGGGCAGGCACTAGCTAATTATATAACGTCCTGCGCCCTACCCTAACTGGGATAAACCTTGATCCCACCCGAAGTTGTGGAATAGAAATTTTGTTCTTGATACATTACCCCTAAAATCCATTCTTTTATGTAAATTGATATATATTTTAATCTGTTAATAATATTTTATCTAATATTTATTTCTGTATTAACTAAATCTTATTTAATTTTTTTTATTTTTTATTTGAATTGTTAACTCAAATTATTTATATTACAGTTATATATCTTTTGATACTTGTATTACTAACTGTTACATTTATTATATTTATTTCGCATTATTTAATGTTTTTGTAATTTCTCTTTTTTCTCTATTTAAACTAAAATTAATTTTATCATTTAATACTATTATTTCTGTAAATCTTTTTTTGTAAATCTGAATTGAACTGTTCTATATTATCTCTCGTTCATAAATCCATTTTATAAAATCTGAATGTAATTTATTAACAATTCTTTATATATATTGTTATCTGCTATATTTCTATTTAAATTTCTCTTTTCTTTAAAATTAACAACTTATTTTATAATTGGTTTTGTAATACAATCTTCTGCTGATTTATTGCTATCAATCTGTATTATATTTTTAATACCAGTTAGTCATTATAATTCGGCTAACTTGATCTTCAATATATATTTACTTTAATTTTTATGCCCTTATATCTATCTTTTCTAAATGTTATGTAATTTTTAATGTAAATACCTATATCTCTCTAATGTAAATTAATTTCTATTGTTAAAACCTATATCTGAACTGTTAATTATAAAATCTAATATATATTCCCGGAATATACTAACCCTAATGTATATTTTTCGATAATCTAATTACTATTCTTGCTGTTTTATTATATTTCTACTGTTCTACTACCTTTTAATAAACTATTATATCTATTCTAAATTATCTATTATTACCTATTATCTAACTTTAATAATATTTTATCGGTCCTAAATTGACTGCATTATTTATATCAATCAAATCTTTTTAAAATTATCTTTTATATCTATCAATCTTTTTATTTATTTTAAGCAATCTTTTAGTTTTGCTCTAATACTCTATCTTAATTAGTTCTATTTAAATCGATTATTAAAATATACTATTTTGCTCCTTTTCTATCGCTTTCAATATACCTTTAAAAATCATTCTGTAAAATCCTAATCGAATCGTCCTATAATATCTTTTGCGTATAAATATATTTTATATAACTCTAATATAATTTATTAACAATTTTCGATATATATAATTATCTGCTATATTTTGGCCAAATTTCTCTTTCGTTTCCTAACTTTCTTTATTTTATAAATCTTATCTATTCTACTGATTCTATCTATTTATATATCTTACAATCTTACAATCCTACAATCCTACGTATTTTACAATTCTATCTATTAACTAATCCTATTTATCTTACAATCTTATATATTTTATATATTTTATATATTTTATATATTTTATATATTTTACAATCTTACATATTCTATCTATTGACTAATCCTATCTATTTTATAATCTTATGTATTCTACAATTTTATATATCTTACATTTCTATATATCTTATATATCCTATATATTCTACATATCTTATATATCTTACAATCTTACAATTCTACAATTCTACGTATCCTACAATCCTATCTATTAACTAATCTTATTTATTTTATAATCTTATGTATTCTACAATCTTACGTATCTTACAATCCTTCTATTCTATAAATTCTATCTATTATATTTATCTTTTTAATAATTTTCTTTATTATTTTCTCCTTTTTAAACCTACTAAATTTACCCCTTTTAACTATTGAGTAATTTTATCGATTTTATTTCTATATTAATTTTCCTTTTTTTATCTTATTTTTTTAATTTTTAATTTTATCTATTTAAATTATCAATTGATTCTTTTTCTTTAATTATTTTCTAATGTTTATCTATTAACCGTCTACTTATTCTACTATATTTATTTATTATCTACTAACCTTCTTGATATATTGTTTTTATCTATTTTATTACTCTTATCCACTATTTATTAATCTTATTTATTTTATTGTTCTTATCTTTTTCAATTATTTATTATATTATTTAATCTTACTTATTTACTTGCTTGCTGGTTTACTTTACGATTTGCCTGTCTATCTATCTGTTTGCCTACCTTATCCGCTTGTTAACTGGCCTGCTAACCGGCTTGCTAACTATCTTGCCTATCTGCCTGCCGATCTATCTGGATATCTGTTTATTTACTAACGGATCTGTTCTATGGACTGCTTTCCGGTCTGCTTACCTATCTGTGAATCGGTTAGCTTTATGGCTATCTGCCTACCGTCCCGTTTATTAGCTTACGTATTATTTAGCGGTCTGTTTTATAATTCGTCTGTCTATCTATTGACGGGCCTATTTCTGGATCTGTTTACTTATCTATCTGTTAACTGGCCTGTCTGCTTTTCCTGGCCGATCTGCTTATCTGCCTGTTTATTTACTTGTCTATTTGTCTATCTACTGACCTATCTTTTATGGTCTATCTCCCGGTCTACCTACTTATCGGCTAACGGGCCTGCTTGGTAGCGTTATTCAGGATCTGCTCCGTTGATGGCTTTCTGTATAGCCGGTTTCTCTGCTTGGTGGTCTTGTTCGGGGCTTGCTTCTTCTATGGCCGGCTCTATGATTCTGCCTATTTATCAGCTAACTGGCCTATTCACTGGCCTGCCTGTCTATCTGTCGATCGCTATCGGGTGGGTGAATGGATTATGGCAAAATATATATGTACCTCGAACGATTTGGATCGACGGACTATATACGGGAATAACAGTCGACCTTTCTACCGATCCTCGATCTCCCGATATATCTCCCGCAGCCAGCAATATATATCAAATAACTGGCTGTGCCGGGGCCGTCCCGTCTGCCCTAAAAATGTAATGATGGCGCCTTCATCCTGGTAATCTACCCCGGCCTGCTGCAGTCGTTGCTGCCACAAGCCCTGGATTACCGGTGCCTGGGGTCCAAATACCATGCTCGCTACCATGGGGATCAAAATCCCGCGGTACGCACACTGCGAGCGGTTCTCCCACCCCGGGCACACGGCCTGGGGCATCCCGCACTGGAAACACGCGCTATATCGGGCGTACTGGATCTGCCGCCGGACCTGGACCATCCACCGTTTGGCCGTTTGGCTGTCGGCCGCGCGGCACCCGTACAGATCGTGGCTGGCCCCGTCCCGGCCCTGCAGCGTACAGATATAACAGTGGTCCTGCCACTGCAGCGCCGTTTCCGCTACCTGCTCCTCCGTTAACCGTTCCTGCCGCATCTGCTGCTGCGCCTGAAAATCCGCCTGCGGCCAGTGCCGGGCCCGGGACCCGCCAGTGTCGCCCACGGGCGAAAACGGCCGCGCGGGGGAGACGCCACGATGGGGACTGGGGTCCGGATGCATGGAATATGGCGCCTGGGAGATAAATGACTCGCTACGCGAACGGGAACGGGACGAACTCGGCGTGTTGGATCGGGGCGAAATGGATTCTGCCGGCCGACTCCCACGCTCTATGATGGCAACCGGCTGGCACTGATCACACGGCGTGTCCCCCGCCGGATTATGGCAGTCCTGCCGCAGGTCCCCGTCCACCGGCCCGTCGAGATACCGGTCCAGCGCCTGCCGACGACATCGTGCCTCTAAATACCCCTGCACCCGCTCGGACTCGCCCGGGGCCATCTCGCCCATCCACCTCGCCGGCGTATCCCATCCGAGCGGCTGGATGATAATGGCCGTGCTGGCCTGCCCGTCCCGCCCCGCGCGCCCGCTTTCCTGCGCGTAGTCGAGTAGCGTCCGCGGCGCGCCGAGGTGGATGATGCAGCGGATGTCGGGAATATCAACCCCCATCCCGAGCGCACTCGTCGCCACCAGTACCGGCGCGGCCCCGTCGATGAACTGCTGCAGCACCCCGGCCCGATCCGGCTGCCCGCTGTAGTACGCCGGGCAGTCCAGCAGCCGCGCCATCGCCGTAACCTGGCTCACTACGTTCGCGTAGAGTATTACCTTCCCCGGCCGCGCCTGCCGGATCTGCCGCTGCACAAAGTCCTGCACTGCCGCCGTCTCCAGCCACGCCTGCGGTCCGGGGCTCACGCCCGCGGGCAGTGCCGGCCGCCAGACCCCGTACCGGATGTTGGCCCGACTGGTTCGTCCGCGGAACATGCGCGCCGTCTCTCGCGCGTGCCCGATCCGCTCAAAGAACCGCGGCTCCTCGCTGGGGGGCAACGTGGCCGTCAGATATACCATCTGCGTGCGCGCGGCCGTCAGATGGCCCAGCCGCCGCATCGCCGGCCGGAAGTCCGCCTGGTCGTTCAGCACGATATGGCACTCGTCTACGACCACTCGGTCCAGCCGCTGCTGCACCCGCAGCCGGTTGACGAACGAGTGGAAGTCGGGGTGCTCGGTCGACTCGGGCGTTACTAGCACGATCGACGCGTCGTCCGGCGGGCAGCGGCTCTCCCACGCCACGCACGCGATCCCGAGCCGCTGGCACCGGCGCTGCAGATCCTGCCGCAGCGACAGCAGCGGCACCACCACGATCGTCGTGCCCCCCGGCTCCAGCCACGCCGGCAGCATAAACAGCATGCTCTTCCCGCCCCCCGTCGGCATCACCGCTACCGCCGGACTCGCGCCGTCCTGGATCGCCCGCAGCGCCGGCCCCTGCACCCCCCGCAGCTGCAGACCCGCCTGCCCGGTCATCTGCCGCGCCGCCTGCGTCACGTCCGCCTGGCTCAGGCGGTGCTGCCGCCACACCCGATGCTCGCCCGCCGCCTCCTCCCACGGCGCGCGTTTGCGCTTGCCGAGTGCGCTGGGCAGGTCCACCGCCGCCTGCGCCGACGGGAAGCCGAGGAAGCGGTGCCAGTCCTCGCTGCTGAGCCGGAACATCGCCTGCCGGTGCGCCGTCGTGCCCGCCGCCTCCGTCACCTGCCGCCCGTACATCAGTCCGGCGAGATGGGACGAGTGCGCCGCCTGCAGATCCGCGATGTGGCCCACCCACTGCTCGGGGTCCATGCGATCCTCGTCGTCCGCGTCGATCCCGGTGAGCTCCGTCGCCCGCTCCTCCTGCTGGTTGTGCGCGAACTGACTGCTGGGCCGCAGAAACCGCCGGCTGATCCCCACCGCGATATCCCGATATGCGAGAATCGTGACGCCTTTCCGGCTCAGTCGCGCCTCCGTCTCCCGTTGCAGAATCCGACGGAATCGATCGGATGACCACGCTCGGCCGCTTCCCGGATCGACGCTCCAGAGATATGACCAATCGCGGGCCTTGTGGCCCACGGGCGGATCATCGCTTTCGCCCGTGGGCCAAACGGCGGTGGTTTCGACCGGGGCCAAGTTATCGAGGTCGGCCCCGGTCGAAACCCCGGGACTGTGGCCGTCGGGTAGCGTGCTGCGGGGGGGATGGCTGGCCACGATCAGCTGCTGCACAAATGGTAGCACGAGCCACAGGTAGTACACCAGTAGCTCCCCGACCTCCCGCGGGAGATAGCGATGGATGACCTTGGTGTCGTTGCTGGCGTAGAAGCCCTTGTGGTATGCGCTGACCAGTGTGACCATCCCGTCCTCGATGTATATACTGCGGCGGCGGTTCCGGTCCGTGTTCACATGCTGCAGACTGAGCAACTCCGGGATCCGCCCCGGCTGACCCGCCACCATATGTACGAGCACCGCCAGCTGCTCCTTAAACCGCGCAACCCGCTGGAAATACGCCCGCACCTTGGGGGGGTGGAAGTGGTCGGTGCGGATAAACTCTCGCTGGAGCAGCGGATCGGCCCGCACCCGGTCGATCAGCCACCGCCGCCCCACCACCGGCCACGGCGTGCGCGCGTCCCGCAGAAAGCTCCAGCCGGGCGTGCTCTCCGTGGGGTCATCGTACAGTTTCCGCCATGGGATCGCCGGCGGCGTCTCCGTGAAGAGCAGCTGCTGCAGCAGATCCCGCGTCGCCCCCGTCAGCCCGTGCACGAACCCCCGGAAGCCCCCCATCGTAAACTGGATGTCCTTGTATAGGATCTCGTCCGCCCCGAGCCACGCCACGTGCCCCGGCGCCGTACTGTTGAAGTGCACCTTCAGCCCGTACGTCCGCCAGTCGAGCAGTGTCTGCATCGGCCCCTGCGTCCCCCGGATCATAAACCGCTGGACCATCCGCTCCACCTGCTCGGGGAACGTGCGCGCACTCCCTCCCTCCAGCGTCGACATGGGGCTGCTGCGGACGGGATACACGGGCGTGCCGAACCCGGCACTGGATGGCGCACTCGACGGGGGCTCCCTGGAGCGCTCTCGAGCCAGAGGGCGCGCATAGCGAGAATTCGGATATGACGACGGCGTCCCGGGGGCCCAACCCATGGCACCGTACGACGGTACAGGGCCGCTGGACGGAGAAGCACTGACGTATCCCTCGTCCAGATCCTCTAGCCCGTCATCGGCGCTGGTCAACGCCCACGGGACGTCGGTTTGCCGCCTCCGCCACAGGTCGATAATCTGCCGCGCCGCGGGGTCCAGCCACAGCGCCTTCTGCACGACGAAGAACCGCGCGATCTTGATCACCTTGGACAGAATGGGGGGGTAGCTGTCGGCGGACCGCCACCCGTGCTCGCTGCGGCCCAGCACCGCCATCGCGCACACCAGCGCGCTCTCGTACTCGTGACCCCGCTGCCGTTGGTTCAGCAGCTCCACGCAGAACTCCAGGCACGCCCGCTCTCGGGTGGTCATTACCCACTGCCGCAGCTCCTCCGGATCCTCCGCCTCGTCGTGGTCCGCCGCCGCCGCCTCCACCACGGCGTCCTCCGCCTGCATCGCCTGCCACAGTCGACGCCACTTCTGCCGCTGCCGGGGGGTGAAGTCGTACGGGGGGCTCGCCCAGTCGTGGGGCGCCTGCGTCCGCGCAAAGAACGTCAGCAACTGCTGCCACGGGTATACGTGCCGCTGGATGCTCTCCTCGTCCATGTACGCCAGCAGCGGGCGATACGGTAGCTCCTTCTGCTGCGTCCGCACCGCCTCCATCCGGATTGCCGACCCGCAGTGCTGTACCGTCCGCTGACTCTTCCGCGCGAGCTGGTCGACGGTCCCCCAGAGTGCTTGGATGGCCGTCTCCACTGCATCGTCCCGGTCCCGGTGGGCCGCTGGATGTCGCCCACGGGCAGAATCTCGCCCCTGGGCCAGATCCTCGGGGTCGGGGGCTGCCACACTCCGCAACAAGTCCTCGGGCGGGATATCGCGGAGAAAGACCGCCCACTGCGTGAACCGCAGCCACGGGTTAGCGTCGGTGATGGAATCGGGTTGGATCGGCTCGCCCGCCTGCGCCCGTTCTGCCGCCTCCCACGCCCGGATCACGGCGTCCACCGCGTGCTGCGCCTGATCGGGAGCGGGCTGGGGAGACTGGCGGCCGTCTGGGAACCGGATGTGGATATAGTGAGATCCACGGCCGCTGGGGAAGACCTGCTGCCAGGAGACCGTACGAAACGATCGTTGTAGTTCCGCCTCGCTGCGGGCACGCTCGGATGGGGGCAATCGGCCGCGGCGGGTCTGTTGAGACCAGTGATGAACCTGGCGCCAATGCTTCCGCAGAGATTCCATGGTGGAGGCGATGAAACGGCATGGATCAGACCCACGCTGGCAGAGTAGTCCGCGGCGATGGCAGGGGAGAATGGGGAGCGGGATGTCTAATACGGTAGGAATCTGGATGTTGGTATTCTCCTGCTCGATCTGGGGCCATTGCCGGATGGCCTGGATAATGGAGGCTACATCAGCATGGGGCAGTGCATGCTGATTTTTAAGATGATTCTCGGCCTCCGGTAATCGAACGCCATAGCCGCAGTGACGGCAGATGAGAACCTTTAATTGTGGGAGTACCTGAAAAAGCTCGGCCTCCATTCCGGAAGGTGAAGGGTTAGTAGCTAAGTGGGGGTTTATACGTTGAGGAAAATCAACAGCTACCCCTGAGTAGTTAGTTATATTTTACGGCCGCGGTTCACCGCCTAGGCACGTGTCCTGCCGTCCCCTGCTGGGGCAAAGGCCGCCAGGGGGGTAAGCCCTGGGCGTCACTAACTAGTTCTAGTTCTAGTTCTAAGTACAAAATAAGGGACTTTAGCGCTTTAAATAGCTGCTGCAGTCAAGAAGCAGCGCCTGTGGATCAGGCAGAGGTTAATGCCAGCTGCAGAGGTCCTCCTAATCTCCATGACCTATCCTACTACCTCTATCTTTTTTTTTGGGGGGGGGTCTCAGTCTAGCTGAGGTAATGAATGCCGAGTGCATATATCTTCGAAGAAACGAGTTTCTGAGAGCCACGCAGCCAGCTCGGTTGTGCCTTTTGGGGTGCCAAGCAGGTAAGGGATTATATTAGAAGGGGACCCTGGAGGTCGGGGCAGGCGCCTCTTTGCTGTGACGGGGACTCAATCTAGAAGAGAAGATGTTCCATTCTTCAACTATCTAGGCAGTAGTTCCACGAGAATAACAAACATGAAAAGGAGAAGGAAAGAAGATCCGGTAGTGGGGTTTCCCAGGTGTAAAGAATAACCAAGTCACCTGACCAGCCTAACCTGTGACCACGAGCGTCACATTTGCTATACGGCAGAAGAGGAAATGTAATGTAGTCTTTCTTGTACTGCAGCCGCAGAAGAGCCCCTATGTATTGCCTGAGGCAGAGCCTCAGGCAGGAATGCATCCAGGAAGGTTTCTCTATTCCGGGAAGTTCCTCGGCTCAGGAAGTGACAATCCGGAAAATCCCCTGATTTCAGGAGGTAACAATGCCGGAGAATGCTCCCAACTAGACTCCCAACCAGACCACACATGAGCAGCGCATCCTGCCATATCGGTAGCGCGCCCCTGGTGCGAAACCCCCTCGGGATTGGACGGATACACGCGAGGTCCCGCCCGGTAACCCTCAACCCTATCGACGTCATGAACGAGATCCAGCCGATTGGAACCTGCGCCATTCTTGGCGTGATGTTCATTAAAAATAGGAATATTCATTAGGCGGGAAACGACCCGATAGAGGTTCGCTTCAGCAGAGCTAGGATATGACGAAGTCAAGGTCGCCAGGCCGTTTCGGCCCCCGGGCCAGAGTCCCCGGGCGGGGACCTCTCTTACTTTGCTAGTTGAGCCGCCAGGGATCTCGATCACCCAGGGGTCCTATAGTCTCCGGGGTTTGGCCCACGGGCGATAGGATTTCCGCCCAGGGGCTAAAACATCGGGGGGGACTAGCCGCTTTATTGTAGACTGTACCGAGGATCAGCGTTAGTGGAATGTAGTGAAAAATGGTATAACCCGGATTAGATCTGGGCTGATGTTGCATGCGGTGTAGAATCGATTACATATCTAGCGTGAAGTCATGTAGATATACGGCGAGAACGTGGCCGTAAGGCATTCTTCCGATGCGCACGGCTGCGGTAATCCACGGCCCCGCTATACCTGTAGATATTACGCTATCCGCCATCCCGATTTCTATCCCCGCGGATCAAACATCACCCCGGCTGCTGGTGTAGAAATTAGGGACTTGGACATTTCCGAGGGTGAGGGCTGACTGGACACCAACTCAGGCATTTTTATCAGCGCGGCTGGGGTAAGTACCGCCCTCGAAATACCGGCAATGAAAGACACTTCAATTGTGAGCTCCAATGTCTGGCACAGCTGAATGAGACATGATTTTACGAATCAGATGGATCAAGGGATGCACCCTGCGTATCTATTCCGGGTACTCGATATTTTGCCCGGGGGCAGATCGAGGAGGCTCTGCGACCTGCAACGTGCGTGACAGGTTACACAAGAGCTAGCTGCTATATTCCGGTTGGGCCAATCAGACGCTTTAACGTCTTTTTCTGATTGTAAATATTCACTACCGACCTACTGCCCCTGCCTCTCCCTCTTTCTTTCTCTCTCTCTCCCCCCCTCCCTCTTTCTTTCTCTCTCTCCCCCCCTCCCTCCCTCTTTCTTTCTCTCTCCCTCTCCGTTATCTGTCTCGCCGTGATCTCTATCTCCCTTCCTTTGTCTTATCTCATATTGATCTCTCACTGCCTTGCAAAGGCCCTTTCTACTCACCTAGACTATCGTCTTGATCTCTCTATCCCAACTAAGGTAAGGGAGTCAGTGTCCCGTTTCTGCATGTTATTCCTTCGTTCGAATCGATCGGTCGACCGATTTGAGGGGGAGAGTGCCGGTTAAAGATTCGACCCTGTCGTGTCTCGGCCATTTAGCCCAGGGGCGGGATCAGTACCGCCCGGGGGCCAAATCCCGTTACCTTCGGCCCAAGTTCTCCTTCCCGATCTCCCGGTCCGGGCTAGGGTCCCTAAGCAACAGGCTAACCGGTGTGTTATCGTCTAGACACTTCTTACCGGTCCGCAATGGCCGCGGTAAACCCTCCCACCAGAGGCGGTAATTCTTCCTCCCGGAAGGGTCGGCCCCCCCCGGACAGCCGACAGCGTCTTCCCCGGCATCGACTATAACTTTGCGTACCTCAAAACCCTCGACGATAACGCCCAGAATCTGGCGGGGGCCCTGGGCCTCGCTGACACGGCGCAGCTGTGGCGGTTGTATCTCGACGATATCGACAGCATGGAGGTCCTGACGGCTTACGTGGAGCATCGCCGGGGGCGGTTTGGCGCCGGCCAGAGCGAGCTCAAGGACTCGGATTGTAAGGTCCTAGATACCACCCTCGGGCAGGTGATCTATGACCGCGTGGCACGCACCGTCTGGACCCGGCGGGATGCCCCCTCGCTGCAGAGCAGTGGGGTCACCAATGTCACCTTCTACGCGATCATGACCCTGTGGTATGCCTGCGAACTGATCGAGGCCAAGCCGAGCCTCTTCTCGCCCGCAACGCGGCCGAGGGCCAGCCCCCCCACCTTCGACCCTTATGACCTGGTGCACGCCTGGAAACTGTTGGCGTTTGTCTACAGGCAAGAAGAAAAAGACCGCGTACCGAGGAAGCGGAAACCGCAACGCAACAAGGCACACGCGCCCGTCTTCGCGCGTCGCCCCGCGTCAGGCCGGTGGGCTACCACCCCGGACCTGGAGATATTGCCCCCGGGCGAAACCGCCGGTACCGTCACCCTGAGTGACGCCCAGCCTGATGGCGGACCCGGACCAGCCCCCCCGGCCGCGGGCGGCGACCCGATCCCGGAGGATTGGCCCAGTTCGGCATCGGAAGGGGGCGACGAGGACGAGGCGTTCGTAGCGAGCAACGTCACGGTCGACGAGATGCGCCAGACCCTAGAGATCGAGGAGCAGATCCTTGCCTTCATGCCGGGCGCGCCCCGGGCCGCCCAGGCCAAGGACCGGCCGGCACTAAGCCCGGCGCAGCGAACCCGGTTACTGGAGCTGCTCACGCACGACCTCGACAAGTGGGTGGTATACGCCAAAGACCCGGCCCCGGCGGCAGAATCGGGCCCAGGCGCCGACACCGAGTTGGTCGCGACCCTCACCCAGCTCGCCCTCGCCGAGGAAGCGGCCGTCAACCCCGACGGGGACGGCGGCGGCGGCAGCGACGCGGAGTCGACCCATACGGCCGAGGGGCCAACGATCCCGGACCTGTCAAGAATCGTGCGGGAGTCGATGCGCCGCGCATCCGCGCTCGCGCCAAGTTACCTGGAGAGCTGCCACGAGCTAGGGCTGGACCGGACCCATCCTGTCGTCTCGGGAGCTGCCGGCGCGGAACCCGTGGCGCTAAAACCCTGGCAAGTGGTAGCGGTCGAATGGATGCGACGTCAGGAGCAGTTGCCCATCCGCGGGGGCCTGCTCGCCGACGGGTGCGGGTTGGGCAAAACGCTCACCGCCCTGAGCCTGATCTACCTCGCTCCTTCGTTGTCGCCCCCGGGCAAAAACTATAAGCCCACCCTCGTCATCTGTCCCAGCGGGGTGGTCTACGGGTGGGCTAAGGAAATCATTCGCCGGCTCGGGAATGCGCTGACCCTGCTCATCTTCTACGGGCGTAAAGCCACGACGGTCGACGTTGCGCTCAAAGGGCTGGTGGTCGACACGGCCGACGACCTGCAGACCCGCCTGGCCGCGCTGCGCGACGATCAGATCACGACGGCCCGCACAGTGGTCCTGACGGCCTACTCGACGTGGGCAATCCGGACGACGGAACCCGAGGTGGAGGACGACCACAACGACGCCGACGGGGCGGAGAACCCGGACGTCCGTCGGGAGGACCACGATGATGACCCGGACGAGGACGGGGAGGCCTGGGACGCCGCAACCGAGGTGGATGAGGGGGAGGACGGCGGCCTAGGAGGGGCCCTTACCCGGCGGGATGCCATCCGATACCTGGGCAATCTCCAGTCCGCCCTGAGCCAGGCCGATGCCGCCGCTGAGGGCCACCGCGCCCGGCGCCGGCCGGCGCAGTCGTACTGCTCCCGGTTTCCGCGCGTGTTTGGCCGGGTCGTGGCCGACGAGGCGCATGCCATTAAGACGATCCGAACCCGCAGTCACCAGGCCGTCTCATTGCTGGAGGCGGACGCTTTCTGGGGCCTGACGGCCACCCCGATTTGGAATCGCCCCGTCGACCTGTGTGGGTACCTGGTCCAGCTCTACCGGCAGGCGGATTACCACGACCACCACGACCACCACGACGACACCGACGATACCGACGACGGCCCGGAGGAGGGGGAAGCGCCGAAGGGCCGGATGAGGAAGACTGACGTGCTCGCGGAATACCTTGACTGGGCCGCGCGGGAGGGAACCGCCTGGGACGAGGAGGACGAGCCCCCTTACCACCTCTTGGCCCCGCAGCGTCTGGCCGTCATTGCCGGCCGCGGGGACATGACCGCGCGTCAGGGTCTGATCGCGCTGCCCGTCATCCTGCGGATGGTCTGCCTGGCCCGCGACATGGGCGACACCATGGAGGTTTCGCCCATGGGCGAAACCCGGGAGGCGATCCGGATCGGACACGAGATCCCACCCCTGGGGGTTGCCACTATCGAGCTGAAGCATACCACCGCCAGCCGCGTCCTGCACAAGCAGGTCGTGACCCGGATTATCGCAACGGCCGGGCTGCAACGGTCCCCGCTCACGGCCGGCGTCCGCCGGCGCCTCGCGCACCTGGCGTTTTACCCGCGGCTGGAGATCCTCTACCGCCGTCTCGGGAAGAAGAGGTCCCGGGCGGCCTCCGTCGCGCGGTACGCGGCTCAGGGCGACCTGGGATTCAACACGTTCTTTCGGAAGACGACCCTGGATCCCGTCTGCATGCCCCCGAGCACGCGGTTCGCGATGGCTTTCTACCTGGCTGCCCACTGCGTCAAGCTCCGTTACCTCTGCCGAATCCTCGAGGCCGAGGGGCTGTTCGGGCCCGTTGCCGCACCGGGCGCGCCCCACCCCCGGTTCCTGATCTTTACCCAATGGCCCACCGTCCGCTGGGTGGTCCTGATGTTCCTGCACGCTCTGGGGGTCGAGGTGACCACCATCGTGGCGGGCATGACGACCGACGAGCGCGCCCACGCCGCTAACACCTTCAATGCCCCGGACAGCGGCGTCTCCGTGTTGGTAACCAGCTTTCAGACCGGCGCCGTCGGGATCAACCTGCATGACCAGTGCTCGCGTGCTATCTTCATGGAGCCGCCCCAGGGGGTCAACGGCGCCCTCCAGGCGATGGGACGCCTCCACCGCCTGGGGCAGCGCTACCCCCAGAAGGTCTGGATTCTGTCCCAGGTCCAGTCCTTTGACGCCCACGTGGAGGACAGCAACATCCTGAAGGCCCTCCCGCAGGTGGCCGCCGACCTGGAGCCCATCCTCCGGGCGGCAGGCCTCCGGGCGGAAGCGGCCGGCGACGATACCGGCGAGGAAACGAACCAGGAGGAGGTCTTTCACCGGGTGGCGGTGGCCAAGCTCGCCAGCTTGCTCGGTCGGCGCGCCCCGGATCTCAGCCACGGCACCCTGGACGACTGGGCTACCGAGCTCACCGGCCAACCGAACCCGGCAAGTGACAAGAATCCGGCATCTACGGACCACATGCCCAGTGACGACCGCCCCGACGACGACAACGGCCACCATCACGGCCGGCCGAACCCGAAACGCCCCAAGACCGACCATCAGGTACGTGGCTTGTGGCCCCTGGGCGAGAACCGGGAGACTAACCTACCGATAGGGATCCGACGGGCCGACGGCTCCGCCGCCCCGGAATCGCGACACCGATCTCCAAGCAGCGGATACCACTACAAACGGTCTAATGCCAGTTTCCTTACCGCCTGTGGGCCCAATGAAAAACCTACCGACGGAAAACAAGAAAGGGAAAGATTCCGACGCGAATAATCCGGATCCTGGTATGTCGTTGTCACCCGTAGGCCAAAAGGAACGAGCCCGTCCCGGCTAACGTAGTTGAGAAGGTTCGTCGCGCCGGTCCACCCGGCTCCGTTTGAGGCCACCGAA